CCAAAAGGAAAAAGAAAAATTAGCCAGGCCTGGTGGCCTGTGCCTATAGTCCTAGCTATGCAGCAGGAGGCTGAGACAGGAAGATTCAGCCCAGGAGTTTGAGGTTACAATGAGCTACGATAGCACCACTGCATTCCAGCCTGGGCAACACAGCAAAACCCTGTCTCAAAAAAATAAAACAGGCTGGGCACAGTGGCTCACACCTATAATCCCAGCACTTTGGGAACTCAAGATGGGCAAATAGCTTGAGCTCAGGAGTTCGAGACCAGTCTGGGCAACATGGTGAAACTCTGTCTCTACAAAAAATACAAAAATTAGCCAGGCATGGTGGCACACAACTGTAGTGCCGGATATTCAGGAGGCTGATGTGGGAGGATTGTTGGAGCCCAGGAGTTTGAGGCTGCAGTGAGCTATAATTGTGCCACTGCACTCCGGCCTGAACAACAGAGTAAGATCCTGACTCAAAATAAAAATAAAATTTAAAAATCAGAAAAAAAAACTCTAATCCTGCTCTACTACTATCTTTTCTCTAATGCCCAGTTTCCTCTTTTTCCTAATCATACTGAAAAGAAATAAAGAAAAAGTATACAGAATTAAATTATATGTACTCAAATTTCACATAAAAAAAAATAAAAGGTTAAGCAAGAGTTACTGGATCATGGTTTCCCTAAATCAAAAATTTAATCACACGTAACTTCTTTCCTCAGCCTTCTGTAGCAGCACCATCCAAGAGAACGATCTGTGTGATGATGTAAACATTCTATATATACACCACATAACACAGTAGCATCTAGAAATGTGTGGCTTTTAAGCACTGGATAGTATGACTGAAGAAGAGCATTTTTAATTTCATGTAGCCTAGTGGCTACTTCACAGGATAGCACAGCTCTGTAGCCAATCAGAGATCTGTCAACTCTTTCTCTTTTTTTTTTCTTGAGACGGAGTCTCGTTCTGTTACCCAGGCTGCAGTACAGTGGTGCGATCTCGACTCACTGCAACTTCCGCCTCCTGGGCTCAAGCGATTCTCCTGCCTCAGCCTCCTGAGTAGCTGGGATTACAGGTACGAATCACCACACCCGACTAATTTTTGTATTTTTAGTAGTGATGGGGTTTCACCACGTTGGTCAGGTTGGTCTCGATCTCCTGGTCTCAAGTGATCCACCCACCTCAGCCTCCCAAAGTGCTGGGATTACAGGCGTAAGCCACTGTGCCTGGTATTGCCGACTCTTTCTCCAAAGCTTCTCATCAATGTTCTTTCCTATTTCTACCAATGTCATAGTAATTCGGCACTATACACACCTAATATGTATACTACTCTCTATATACGCCATTGAAATATTATCTCCCTACACTTCATCAAAATATTGTTTTAACATTATTTAAATTTTTATCATTCAAAATGTTCAAGATTCTTCAAAACGTAAAAGAACAGAAAGAATAAAGTCCATATAGCATTCAAAATCAAAGCATCACAATTTGACTTGATTGTATTTTTCTAGTCTCATTATCCACAAAAACCCTGATTCAGTAAAAAAGATCTACTCATTATCCCTCACAAAAATGTTAAGCTTTCTCTTGCTTTAGTTGTACTGTTACCAATCATAGATGACTATGTTCATTTTAAAAGTCAAATCTTAACTCTTTCCTGTCTATGAAAACAAACGATTCTGACCACTTCTAAGTTGCAAAGCTAACATATGATTTAGTTAAATATTTAATATTGATTTATTGCTTTAATGGTTACTTAGATCTTTTAGTTTTCATTTCTTTCAGACTTTGTTCCTAAACTTGAAGGGCATAGCCCAGAGAGTAGTGCCCTCCACACATCATTCACTCAGATGTGAATTAATTCAAAGGAGTTAAAAGGGATAATACAGGAAAAAAGGACTGAGTTTTTCTCTGCCAAAAACCCACACATTGTTCTTTAGCATTACTAGAAGCTCAAAATATAGCTGAGTTCCTGATAGGTTTCTGGCAGTTTCCTGGCCTTGCAACGTGGCTCAACACACCAGGGGAGAGAACTCGTGCTTTCTCTTCACATCTTTAGGGAACAGTACCTTAGTTCTGGAAGGAAACTGAAGTAGTTTCCTAGGGCTAAACCAGAGTCCAGGCTCCACATGAAGCATTAAGAGGTTTCTTCCTAAATAGTTTTTTGGGCTTTTTTTGTTTTTTTCTGAAACAGGGTCCTGCTCTGTCGCACAGACAGTGGTGCAATCTTGGCTCACCTTAACCTCCCGGGCTCAAGTCAACCTCCCAAGCTCAAGTGATCCTCCTGCCTCAGCCCTGCCGAGAAACTGGGACTACAGGCGCATGCCACCATGCCCAGCTAACTTTTTTTTGTACAGATGGGGTTTCACGTGTTGCCTCGGCTGCTTCCTAGTTTCTAATAAGTCAAATAAAATTCATTTCCCCAAATAGTGCCAGCCACGCAGATGAGGTAAAATGAAAGAATATGGTAAGAAAAAATTATCTACATTTTAACCTTTTGAAAATAGGATTTTTAGCTATTTCCAATTGTCATCAGATTATTAATCTGCCTGGAAAAAAATTTTACCGAAAGAAAAAGGTATTTATCTTTTTTTTCTACAGAATGTTTGATTAAAATTTTGGCCAGGCGCAGTAGTTCACGCCTGTAATTCCAACATTTTAGGAGGCCGAGGTGGTTGGATCACCTGAGGTCAGGAGTTTGAGACCAGCCTGACCAACACGGTGAAACCCCATCTCTACTAAACATACAAAAATTAGCTGGGAATGGCGGTGTGCACCTGTAGTCCCAGCTACTTGGGAGGTTGAGACGGGAGAACTGCTTGAACCCAGGAGGTGGAGGAGGCAGTGAGCCAAGATCACACCACCGCACTCCAGCCTGGGTGACAGAGCGAGACTCCGTCTCAAAAAAAAAAAAAGAAAATTTTAAGTAAAACTAGTTATTTCTAATTTATTCTATTTTTAGTCTTAAGTAGAACAAAACTTTATTTCCAGTTCCTGATATTGTCCATTTAACATGAATTAACACCAGAGCACCAAATGACTTCTTCTATATACTTCTCACAAACACAAACCTAACAGATAAAATTGGCATTAAATAAAATTAGATATTTTGTCAAGCATTTGTGAGTACTTAATGTCTATGAAAGGCATAAAATGAAAAGCCCAATAAATGTTTTAAAGTCACAACCCAAAATCTAGAACTGTGATCACAGCAGAACAACTTTAAGATAGGTACGTTTTCTTCTTCTCTCCATACACTATGGAATACCACAATGTTTTGGAAGAATCTCTTCCTTAGACTCTATGTACACCTACATCTGAAAACAGCAAAAGATAAGAATATCGACCTTGATAACAGCAAAGGATGGCCAACAGCTAAACTCAATTCCTTCTCTTGAGCTTATTTCAAAAATGAAAAAAAATAACCCATGGCTCTGTCCCATCAAGGGGGGGTTGGAGGAGGGGTCCAGCTGGGGCAGGAAATAATCTTTCCTAGGTTGCTACATTGCTTTGCAGCTTTGCAAGAGAGCCAGAATTTGTTTGGAAGATGATGACTTCAACTTGTTCCACAAATCTACTTCCCTTGGCATCTTGGAAGAGTAGAGCAGATATTTCCAGATTTATTTATTTACTCTTCCTCTCAGAAATTAAGAATTTTCCTTAAGGTGAAGAATTAAGACTTTGAAATCGAATGTTTTTATAATTTCAGGAAACTAAATGATCACCAGAATTAAATAATGTACACTGAGTAGAATTTACTTGAACTAACTTCCTCTATGAGGTTTGTATATAAAATATACTGAACTCTTTTTGTCCTAGAAGTATTCTATAATTTAGCTACCTGATAGAATTTTTTTTTCCACAATGCAAGGATATTAACATAGTCAAATTGAAAAAGTACAAATTTCAAATGATAAAACAGTATCTAGCTATAGATATTCTATATCCACGCACCTTATATTTGGTGAAGTGGTAGGAGGGAGTGTGTGGAAAAGTCAGATGAAATAAGAAATATAAAGGATGAGGTAGAGAACCAAAAAAGTAAAAACTCACCCTATCCTGGGTAGCAGGTGGATGAACGAAATAATGAATACAAACCTTTCAACCGAAGGTAAGTATTAATACAAGCATATGAATTTAACGGAGGCCAATAAAGACCTTTAAATAATCCAGTATCTGGTACCTATATAAAGATTTACATGAAATGAATTGGTGATCTCAGTTCAGATATCCTGGAGGTCTTATTAATGTGAGTGTACAGTACTGAAGGTAACATGTATATAATAAAAAGAGATTCCATTTCAGATATGGGTAAACAGCAATTCAATTAAATTACTATTTTCACAAGATATCTGAAATGGTTCAAAATTGTTAAAAAAATTTTGCTATTTCCACAAATATTAAATAATACCCATTATGCCTAAAATGCACTTACATTAAAAAATATATTTTGTACTAAAACAGATTTACTCTATGGGAATTTTGTTTTTTTAGTATACTACAAATTCTGAGGTCTTAATTTTCTAGAATTTTTCTTTTTTAATCTTATAAAGAAAAACCCTCATGATAACAAAGAGAAGATAAAGGAAATCTCCAAACAACCTACTTGGTATAATACCTATCACGATCAAACTCCATATATAAAACTGTGCCAAGAAATATAAATATCAAATAGATTTATCAACAGTAAATAATTATTGAAATCAAAGGAAATTTTTTTCAAAAAAATACAAGTTAAATAACATTACTTCTGACAAGTACAATCACTACTTCAGAAAAGTAAAATTTAAATTCAAAATCCCACAACATAAACCAGTCAGAATAAATTAGCTGGTTTTTATGTTTGACTTTGTTTTTAAAAAGCCAGTATACACACTACATGTGCTTTGTACATATTATTGTCTCTTAAAAACATACATTTTTCAGTGATTTAAATTTGGCAACTCATCTCAGTAAGAGACCGACCTAATTATCTGATTTTTGCATTTTAGAATTCACAAAATTCCACTTACCACATATTTTACAGCACTTATAAACTGGTTGTGGAAAAGCAGATGCTGTGTTTCATCTTCTGGATTTGAAGCTGTATACAGCATTCCACAAACATTACAAGAAACTGCTCCAAATCTTTTTTGTCCTGCATCCTATTTATAAAAAACATACAAAAGTTTTTTTCCTCCCAAAAGAATTATTCCAGAACATCAGCCTCTAAGGCTATAGTGTGAGCATAAAGTGAGAATTGTTTAATCTACAATGAATAACATTCAATGTTAATTACTAAAAATTACATGCTAATCTTTGAAATCTGCATGTGATTTTATTAATGTTTCCATTTTAGTAACCTGATCCATAGCATATAACAATTTTTTAAAAACTGACAAATAGCTTTAACATCACAAACTTAGTCCTAAAGCCCCAAATAGTAAATATTCTATGAATGAGAACTAATATATATTTCATATTTGTAATAATTATACTACTAGCATGTAGAGGAAAAAGTTTTTTTGATACAGGGTCTCACTGTGTCACCCAGACTGGGACTACAGGCATGCGCCACCATGTCTGGCTAATTTTTGTTTTTGTTTTGAGACAAAGTCCCACTCTGTCACCCAGGCTGGAGTGCAGTGGCACGATCTTAGCTACTGCAACCTCTGCCTCCCAGGTTCAAGCAATTCTCCTGCCTCACCTCCCCGAGTAGCCTGGGATTAGCAGAGAGGCGTGCCATTGGCCATCGCTGGCCTAATTCCTTTGTTTTTAGTAAAGATGGGGGTTTCAGGCCATGTTGACCCAGGCTTGGTCTTCGAACCTCCTGACCGTCAGGTGATCCACGCTGCCCTCAGCCGTGCCAAGTTCTAGGCATTACAGGCAAGAGCCCACCTTGCCTCGCCACCTGGCTAATTTTTATAGTTTTTTGTAAAAGAGAGAGACATTTTACCATGGTTCCCCCAGGCTGGTCTACGAACTGAGCTCCACGGACGATCATGGCCTGAGCTCAGCTCCAACAGTGCTGAGGATTACACGGTGTAAAGCCCACTGCACCCAGCCAGACTCCTTTTTTATTTTTAATTTTTAATTTGAAACAGGGAGTCTTTTTGCTCGCGGCGGCCACCCGAGTAGATGGGATTACAGCGGCACCCAAACACCCAAGGCCACGCTAAACCTTTTGTATCTTTTAATAGAGACCCGGTTTTAGTCCACGTTGGCCCAGGCTGGTCTCCAACTCCTGACATCAGGTGACTCCACTGCCTCGGCTCCCAAAGTGGCTAGACTTCAGCGTTGAGCCACCGGCGGGCTGAACTCATCAATTTTTTTAATGTCTTAAAAGTCCTGGGGGGCCAGCTGAGGTGGCTTCACGCCTGTTAAATCCCAGCAGCTTGGATCACGGAGCTCAGGAGTTTCAAACCAGCCTGGCTAACATGGGAAACCCATTTTCTCTATCCAAAAATACAACCAACATAGCCAGGCATCGGTGGTGCGGCCCTGTAACCCAAACCTAGGTTGGGAGCTGAGGCACGGAGAATCACTTAACGCCAGGAAGCAGAGGTTGGCAGTGAGCCGAGATCATGGCCACCTGCACGCCAGCCTGGGTGACAGAGCAAGAACTCCATCTTCCAAAAAAAAAAACAAAAAACACAACAACAACAGACCAAAATAAGTCTGGCAGCTGCCCAAGACAGTTTTTTCCTCTAACAATTTTATTTATTTATTTATTTTTTTAGATGGAGTCTCACTCTGTGCGGCAGGCTGGAGCACCACGCGCGTGCAATCTCCGCTCAGTGCAACTCCGCCTTCCCCAGGTCATGCATTCTTGCGTGACACATGCTAATTTTTTTGTAATTTTTAGTAAGGACCCGTTTCACTGTGTTAGACAGGATGGTCTGATCTCCTGACCTTGTGATCCGCCCATTCGGTTAAAGCTGGGCGGAATTAGCAGGCGTGAGCCATGGCGCCCAGCCCCCAAAAATTATAGGACCAGGTGTGTGGCTCCACACCTGTAATCGCCTGAACCTTTGGGCAGGGCAGCATGCCAGCCATGAGTTCCAGGAATTTCAAGACCAGCCTGACCCAAGCATGGTAAAATCCCGTCCTCCTACCCTACACACAGAACCTCCGCAGATGCCAGGCCCGACAGAACCATAAGCCCACAAAACGCTCTAAAAATCCAAAAATTAAGCCAAGACAGTGGCAGCATGCCGCCCTATAGTTGCCCAGCTAGCTAAAGGAGGCTGAGACACGGAGTTGGCTGAAACTCCCAGGAAGCAGAGGTTATCCAGTGAGCTAAGATCTGTGGCCACGGCACTCCAGGCCTGGGGCTGACAGAGCTGAGCTCCAGATCTCACAGCACACAAGCACAAAAAATTAACAATTACTGTGTGTACGGGATGATGTCTTGTTGCTAGTATTAGGCGGCTGAGGTGAGAGGATCACCTGGCGCTGGACAGGCTGAAAGGTGCAGTGAGGCTGTGGATCTGCCATTGCACTTTTAGCTGCGGGTGCACAGAGTGAGACCCCTTCTTTAAAACAAAAAAAAAAAAATCTCTAACTGATTATGTGACTGTACATACATTAAATGTTTAGTACTGGTGCTTAATTTCTTTTAATATTCATCTTTCAAGTTTAGATTTTAATCATCAAATAATATCTCTTTTTCCCCAATTTATGTTGTCAATTTAAAATGTTATTTAAAAATATGTGATTCTGCAATAAGCTATTTAGAAATCATTTAGGCCAGGGGGCAGTGGCTCAAGCCCTGTAATCCACAGGCACTTTTGGAGGCAGAGGGATCATTCGAGGCAGGAGATCTAAGACCATTGCCTGGCTAACACGGTGAAACCCGTTTACTAAAAAATTAACAAAAAAACCTTAGCCGGAGGTGGGCGGGGCCGCTTTGTTCTTAGTCCCAGCTTTTTACTTTCGGGAAAGGCTTTGAGGCAGGAGAATGGGCGTTGAAAACCCGGGAGCGAGTGGCAAAAGTGGAAGTTTTGAGATTTGGACTTGCACTTTTCCAGCCTTAGGCCGAACCAGAGGCAAGAACCTCCCCGTCTTCAAAAAAATTAAAAATTAAAAATAAATTAAAAAATTTTACAAATAAAAATAAATAAAAAAATTCATGTTTTTTTTATACAATTTAAGTTGTTCCAAATGTCTTTTTTGGTTTTTTTTACTTTTTTGTTTTTTTTTTTTTTGGGTGTTTTTTGTTTGTTTTTTGGTTTTGAGATGGAAAGGTAAAATCGGCTCTTTGGTTGCCCCCCAGGGCTTTGGAGGTGCCCCCAAATTGCCCGTGAATCTCAGCTTACCGCAAAACGCGGCAACCTCCCCACCTCCCGCGAGTGTTCAAAATGGGAAATTTTTTCTCCTTCCCTTCAAAAAGCAAACCATTTCCCAAGTCGTTAGCCTGGGATTACAGGAATGGTTTGGTGTTAATTTTTTGGTACTGGCCCGCGGCTTTTTTAATTTTTGGTGTTTTGTTGTTTTAATTTTTTTTTAAAGT